AAGACTTTTTAAATCTAGAACAGGGCAACTAGAGAATACAGGAATATACAGAGAGATTCGTTGAACATTCTCGGTTTGCAGAGCACTGTACCTCTTCCGAAGTTAGAAAAGTTGAGAGAGATATCTGGGGTTTAAAACCCTCAATTTGGGAATTTGTAATCGCTATGAGTCATGCTACTTTTCCATTAGCAGTAGATGCTGCTGAAACAACCGAGAGAAACAATAGTAGGTAAAGAGAAGAGAAAGTAGTTGAAAAGAGGAAATGGGAAGGGTCTTTGACTGGTTTCCGAGGGCCAAAATCTGCAAAAATAGAGAACTGTCATGTTCAACGCTTTGTTGAAATAACATGTCCCTGATGTCACCTAGTTCACCAAGGTGACTATAATCCTGATCAAAGAAAAATGTTACCAATGTGGTGAGTTAGGTCATTTATCTAGGAATTGTCCAGCTCCTCGAAGATGTTTCCAATGTAATTTACCTGATCATATTAGACCAAATTGTCCTCAGTTGAAAAATCCACAATTAACCATGGGAGGAAATGCTCCTAGTACTCATGGAAACCGAATGTGCAAAGAGGAGGACCAGGAGGGGCTTGGGGCCGATCTTTTCAGATGACTAAAAGCGAGGCTGAGGCAATAGCAGATGTGGTAACATGTATGTTTCTTGTTAACTCCGTATATGCTAAAGTGTTGTATGATTCTGGTGCGAATTACTCTTTCGTATTGCCATTATTTGCAGGGTATGCATACATGAGTTTTGTGCCTCTTGACAATATATTAGTAGTTGATACTGCTAACAGTCAACTATTTGTTAGTTATGTTTTTAATAATTGCCAAATTGATATTGAGGGGTCTGGGCTGCCAATCTGATTATTTCCGATGCCTATGAAAGAATTCGATGTTGTGGTGGGATGGATTAGTTAGCGAAAAGCAGGCCAACATTATGTGTAACAAAAAGATGATCAATATCAATTTGCCAGAGAAAGGGCCAATTGTGATTTATGGTGATCGGCAGGATCATCATACCATTCTATTATCTGTTTTGAAAGCCCGGAAATGTATTCAGAAAGGTTATCGAGGGTATTTGGCCTATATAATTGATTCGAAGAAAGAAAAAAGCAAGCAAGAGTCGATTTTGGTAGTCTATGATTATCCTAAAGTATTCCTAGAGGATTTGACTGGTTTACCACTGGATTGGTCTATTGAATTTAGAATTGATCTGATATACGGGGCAACACCAGAAGCAAGGGCACCATATCGTTTGGCACCATCATAATTGAAAGAGTTGGTAAGACAGTTGGAAGACCTGCTTGACAAAAGTTTCATCAAACTGAGTACTTCACCTTGGGTTGCTTCGGTTTTGTTTGTTAAAAAGAAGGACTGGTCTATGAGAATGTGTATCGACTATAGAGAATTGAATAAGCTGACCATCAAAAACAAATATCCATTACCGAGAATCGATGATTTATTTGACCAATTGGTTGGAGCCAGTTACTTTTTTAATATTGATTTGCGGTCGGGATTTCATCAGCTTAAGATCAGAGATGAAGACATCGTCAAAATAGCATTTCAAACCAGATATGGACATCATGAGTTTTTGGTTTTTCCTTTTGGTTTAATCGATGCTCCTGCAACATTCATGGATCTGATGAACCGGGTATGTAATGAATATCTTGTGGTAGGTTATTTTTCACACCCTTAGACTTATAAATGGAACCACAAAACAAGTATACAATATGGTTCAATGTCGTCTTTTCCAAGTAATAAAGTGGTAAAAACCAAATGTCGTCCACGGAGATTGTAGCAAAGACTTAATAAGAGTCTAATGAAAGAGATGATTTCAGATGATGAAATTGAAGACTTCAATTTAATTCAAAGTTAACATTGATAAAATAACAGAATATTAAAGGGTAGCATGGATGTAAGACTTATGGTGAAATGTAAAAATAAATTTCAGCAGACAATGCTTTAGAAATGCTACATCATATAGTAAGCCAAAACTAATTCCACCATCCATTTTGAAGGTATTCCTCTCGGACTTCACCTTTGCACTATATTATAGCTTTCAACCCATATCTCTATATGGTATCTGGACCAGGGATTCTAACAAAATGGTGTTTTTAAAATATATGGATAAACAAGTCTCTTTGTTAAAAATCACTTTCTCGAGCCGATTCCCATATCATTAAAGTTGGTATGTGTTCTAGATAGTTCATCTCCGAATCTATCGCACTTTGACACTTTTAAAAAGTGATCAACCTGTCGGGAGTTAATTTTGAAAGACATAAATAACAAGTCTCTTTGTCAGTAACTTTCTATAGTTTACCTCTTATATCATTCAAGTTGACATGCATTCAATGGCTTATCTCTAAGACCATGGCACTTTAATACTTTCAAAGTGATCAACTCGTCAAGAATTGTACTTCGTTTTTATAAAAACTTGAATGAAATAGTGGAACATTGTTATTGTGAAACAACATCCACTTTTCTTCGGTTTAACATTTCACCCCTTATCTTACACCCAAGCTATTGGAATTAGCTAGTCATTACGAAAACTAAATGACAAGAAATATAAAGAACAGAAAGTAAAGACATAAATATAAATAACAGAAAGTAAATGACTGAATATAAAGAGCTGAAATTAAATGACAAGAAAAGTAAATAAAGTAAGAACAATGCTGTAACAACTCATAATGAAGATCACTATTTAAAGAAAATTAAAAACTAACTTGCATAAACATAAGAACTTCAGATCTAATTCTTAAAAGTCTGTGGGATGGATTTTAAGAACTACCAAGGGGTCCTATTTATACAAAAGAGCCAAGAAAGAAGACAAAAGCCTTGGAAAAGCCATTGTTCCCAAAAGAGGGACAAAAGGTGAAAAGAGAAAAAGGTAGCATCACATCAAAAATAAAAGTAACCTCCAAAAACCTTCATCCCAGTTGTAGTGGTCTTTAACCAACAGATCAGCAAAAATTTGTCTTCATTCTAAATTGATAGCTGAATCATTAAGCACTTCCCAAAAGGCCGCCTCATAACAGTTCAATGTTGTTGGAATGTTGTAGCACAGAACATAATGCTTTCAAGTTAAGATTTTTCTACTCTAAATGGTATAAAGACAAGTTAATCACTTAATTTAGCTCCAAGTATAAACAAATGGAAAATAATGTAATAAAAAGGACTCAAGATTGGGATAAAAGAAAATAAACTACCTAATAAGTAAAAAAATGAATGTTTTATGCTTTGAATAATCAATGCATATGACACCCCCAAACTTAAAGTGTTGCTTGTCCCCAAGCAACCAAAAGACAACTAAAAAATGACTTAATAATGCATAGGTATACAAGATTATGGCATTAAGTACACACATATTGCAATGCATGCCATTATGAATATCATAGCCTTTCATAAATCCTTAGTAAACCATTCATAGCCTAACTTTTATGTATGAACCATATACTAGCACTAATATTTTCTTTATTAAACTCAACAAACTTTTAATTTGAGGTCAATAGGAATTTTATGGGTTTACTCTCTTTGGATTTTTTTTCTCTCACATTGCCTTTTCTTATGTTTCAACAATGAATTTTTTTGAATTTTGGCACTTTGTGTTCTTTTTGTTGAAAGCATGCACATTGCCCTTATGGAACATTTTTTGTGCTTTAAACAAGTCCAACTAAGGCATCTTTTTAGATCTTTACTCTTTTGTATTGATGTTTTGGCCTTAGTGGAACACCCTCCCCTAAACTTGAAGTGTTGATAATGCCCTCGTTGGCTATATGGGGTGTGTAGTGTAAGAGGGTACAAAAGGCTTATTTGTGAGATTGTGAAGAAGGGCCTATATCATACCCTTTTTGTTATTGGTGTGTGAGTCAAGTTGTGTCCTAAAAAGAATGGTGCTAGTTTTAGCAAGAACATATCTACTAGGTGAATGACTAACAACCTCAGAATTATTCAGGCTATGAAATCAAAGGCAACTATCAATGAACATGCAATCTTGTAAAGAAAATAAATTTAAAAATACAAAATTATCCCAGACTGAAAAAAAAAATTGGAGACTAAAGGAAAGTGATTGAACCTGCCTTACTCCAAAGGAGTAGGCTTTGAAGCCTATGCTGCCATCTCCTTCAACTTGTCATTCTCTTCAAACAACCTTTGAGTCTCCACCTTGATGACTTTTAGAATGTTTTCACAAAAGTTGATGCTCTCACCTGTTATGAGACTAAGCAAAAGCACCAACCTTTCTACGAAAATGGAGCTGTTATGATTAGTCGATGATAAATAATGTCTAATAAAGCTTATCCAAATATTCTTATCAGAGGACAAATTGGCAGCCTTAAAGGTTTTCAACATGAAATGAGTGTAAAGCTCCCAATCAGTCTCAGGCATTCCAAGAAAAGTCATGATCTCAACCAAATATGCCTCAGAGGCCGTGTACAAGAGTGCATCATTCTTAGAATCTATGTGAGGTGAGAGACCAAACAATTTATTTATGGCTTTGTCAAAAGTAGACACCTTTCTTTGTGGCTCTATGGATGTGAAGTTATTGTCATCTAGGATGATTTTATGTTGACAAAAAGAAGGACTAATCCCCTTTTGGTCGTCAATGATCAATCCCATAACTTTTACGTGCAACTTCATCATATCAACCAACTTCTTCTCTTGATGCAAATCTAGGGTAGATGAAATGATGACAGGAAATTTGCTTTCTTATCCTAGAAAATTATACTTCAAATGAGATGGGAATTGTTTCAACTCCAAGTCAGGTGGTGATATAATGGATGGGGTGAAATTCTTTTGCTCACTGTTTTCCAACAACTCAAATGCAGTAACATCTCATGGGATACCATCATCCGCTCTTAAATCTAACTCCTCGATGATCTCTTCATCTATTTCAACACTCCTCTTCCTCTAACTTACATACCTCTCTAATTCCTTCCTCATAACACATTGATTCTATTTCACAAATTCTTGAACATTCTTCCAAATAGTCAGGGTATTTCACAGAATTGAAAACATTAAACGTGACTTTTGGTCCTGAAGTCTCATTGTCAGCTTTCCTTTCTGGACATCTATCAAAGTTCTTCCGGTGGCTAGGAATGGTCTCCTTAATATAATAGGAATGTCCTTATCGGCCTCAAAGTCTAAGATGATAAATTTTGCCGGAAATATGAACTTGTCAACTTGCACTAAAACATCCTCAATCTTTCCCTTAGGGTATGCAATGGATTTGTTGTCCAATTGAAGTGTAACAGTGGTAGGTCTAGCCTCACTGATGCCTAAGGTGTTGAAAATAGATAAAGGCATGAGGTTGATACTTGCACCTAAGTCACACAAAGCTTTCCCAATCTCTTTCCCACCTATAAAACAAGGAATAGTGAAACTTCCAGGGTCTTTAAGCTTAGGAGGTATCTTGTTGGTCAGAAGTGCACTACATCCTTCAATAAGAGCTACAGTTTCATACTCGGTCAGTTTTTTCTTCTTACTTAAGATGTCTTTGAGAAACTTGTCATAATTGGGCATTTGCTCAATTGCTTCAACAAGGGGTATGTTGATATGCAATTCTTTAAACACATCCAAGAATTTTTTCAAAATGCAGTTCTTCCTTCTGATTCCTCAACCTTTGGGTGTAAGGTACACAAGGAGGAACTGGTTTTATGACAACTTTGTTTGAATGTGTTGAGCAAGATGAGTCTTTTATGTCTTGCATTGTAAAGGGACCAGATCCATTATGAAGAATTATGAGGATAATATTTATAAGAGTGTTATCTGCCATAACAAACACATTGCACTGAGAGGACTTTTGGAATAGGTGTAGTAACAACTGGTTGCACTCCTTGGCTAGAAGTAAGGTTTTTAAGCATGGTGGCCATGGAAGTGAGTTGTGCTGTTAATGTAGTGTATGCATCTACATCATGAATTCCAATAGTCTTCTTTTGTGGTTGAGCACGTGGATCAACCCAATGTCCATTATTTGCTTAAATTTTTTCAAGGATCTCATACCCTTCATTGTAGGTACTAGCTGTAAAGGCCCCTCCTGCAGTCGCGTCAAGCATCTGTTTAGCCATGGGACTTAACCCATTGTAGAATGTCTTGATTTGAATGCAGTAAGGAACGTCATAGTGTGGGCATTTCCTTAACATCTCTTTAAACCTCTCCCATGCATCAGGAACAACTTCATCGTCCATTTGTTTAAAAAGACAAATTTCATTTCTGGACTTAACGTTCCTGGTGGGTGGAAAATATTTTCGCAATTTTTTTTCAGCCATATTACTCTACGATGGCACAGAACCCGGTGGTAATGAATTAAACTATGCCTTTTCCCGATATCATAAAGAAAATGGGAATAAAGTGAGTCTTAAAGCGTCGTTAGACACTCCCAGGATCAAGAAAGCATTAGTGATTTCCATGAAAGACTTTAGATGTGAGTGAGGGTCTTCCGATGGTAATCCGTAAAATTKTCCATTTGTTTACAACATATGAAACATGATCGGTTTTAGTTTGAAATGAAGGGTTGTCATTTGTGGCATAACTATCCCGGAGTTTAATTGCTTGAAATCAGGGATAACATAGTCCATGATTCTTCCATTTTTAGAATTTGCCAGATTAATTATATTTGGAGTTTGCGCTCTAGGTTGATCATTATTTTCCGATTACGTGTCATCATTTATCATTATGTGGGTGTTCTTGTGAGAAGTTCTGAAATGGTGGTATTGGTGCAAAAACAGGCGATTGATTTTCCAAATGAGGCACATCTGGAATGATTGGGGGAGGTAACGCCATGTTGGGAAGGAGTAGAGCAAAAAATACTCTTTGTGCCCTCCTTCTTTGACGGAATATTCTCTCAATATCGGGATCAAATTCGATAAACTCCTTGCGGTGTATCCGTGGCATACACCACTTTCAAAATGATTCAAACGGTACTAGAAAAATCAAATCTTTTACTTTACTCTTAAAAAGAACTTTTAGCTTGCCAATCCATGGCAACGACGCCAAAAACTTGGTAGGTTATTTTTCACACCTTTAGACTTATAAAAGGAACCACAAAACAATTATACAATATGGTCCAATGTCGTCTTTTTCAAGTAATAAAGTGGTAAAAATCGAATATCGTCCACGAATATTGTAGCAAAGACTTAATAGGAGTCTAATGAAAGAGATGATTTCAGATGATGAAATTCAAGACTTCAGTTAGATTCAAAGTTAATAGTCATAAAATAACATAATATTAAAGGGTAGCATGGGTGTATGACTTATGGTGAAATGTAAACACAAATTCCAGCAGATAATGTTGTAGAAATGCTACAGCATACAGTAAGCCAAAACTAGTTCCATCATCTATTTGAAGGTATTCCTCTCGGACTTCACATTTGCACTATATTATAGCTTCCAACTCATATCTCTAAGTGGTATCCAAACCAGGGATAGTGACAAAATGGTGCCTTCAAAATATATGGATAAACAAATCTATTTGTTAAAAATCACTCTCTCGAGTCGATTCCCATATCATTCAAGTTAGCGTGTGTTCTAGATATCTCATCTTTGAATCTATCGCACTTTGACACTTTTAAAGAGTGACCAACCCGTCGAGAGTTAATTTTGAAAGATATAAATGACAAGTCTCTTTGTCGGTAACTTTCTCAAGTTTACCTCTTATATCATTCAAGTTGACGTGCATTTAATGGCTTATCTCTAAGACCATGGCACTTTAACACTTTCAAAGTGATCAACTCGTCAAGAAGTGTACTTGGTTTTTATAAAAATTTGAATGAAATAGTAGAACATTGTTATTGCGAAACAACGTCCACTTTTCTTCGGTTTAACATTTTACCCCTTATCTTACACCAAAGCTATTGGAATTAGCTAGTTATTATAGAAATTAAATGAAAAGAAATATAAAGAACATAAATAAAGACATAAATATAAATGACGGAAAGTAAATGTCTGAATATAAAGAGCAGAAATTAAATGACAAGAAAAGTAAATAAAGTTAGAACAATGTTGCACCAACTCATAATGAAGAATACTATTTAAAGAAAATTTAAAAACTAACTTGCATAAACATAAGAACATTAGATCTGATTCTTAAAAGCCTGTGGGATGAGATTTTAAGAACTACCAAGGGATCCTATTTATACAAAAGAGCTAAGGAAGAAGACAAAAGCCTTGGAAAAGCCATGGTTCCCACAAGATAGACAAAAGGTGAAAAGAGGAAAAGTTAGCATCACATCCAAAATAAAAGTAACCTCCAAAAACCTTCATCCCATCTGTAGTGGTCTTTAACCAACAGATCAGCAAAAATTTGTCTTCATTCTAAATCGGTAGTTGAATCATTAAGCACTTCCCAAAAGACTGCCTCATAACAGTTCAATGTTGTTGGAATGTTGCAACACAAAACATTATGCTTTCAAGTTAAGATTTTTCTACTCTAATGGTGCAAAGACAAATTAATCACTTAATTTAGATCCAAGTATAAACAAATGGAAAGTAATGTAATAAAAAAGACTCAAGGTTGGGATAAAAGAAAATAAACTACCTAATAAGTAAATAAATGAATGTTTTATGCTTTGAATAATCAACGCATATCATCTTGACAAATTCGTTATTATGTATATCGACGATATTCTTATATACTCGAAATCTGAAGAAGAGCATTTCAAACATCTTCGTCTGATCCTTGAACTTTTGAAGAAAGAAAAATTATTTGACAAATTGTCCAAATGTGAGTTCTGAGTCGAGGGAAGTACAGTTTTTGGTCCACGTTATCTCTCAGACGGGTAAAAGTAGATTCTGCCAAAATTGAAGCAATTGAAAGATGGGAGGTGCCAAGAACTCCTATTGAAATCCGTAGTTTCTTGGGATTAGCAGGTTATTATCGGAAGTTTATTTAAGATTTTCAAGAATTAATACACCACTAACCAAATTAGCAAGGAAGAATGTTAAGTTTGAGTGAGAAGAGGATCAACATAAAGCTTTTCAGTTATTGAAAGACCGTCTTTGTAGTGCCCTATTGTTATCGTTACCAGAGGGATCAGAAGATTTTGTGGTATACAGTAATGCTTTAAAGCTAGGTTTGGGTTGTGTACTGATGCATAGAGAAAATGTCATTTCTTACACATCCAGACAATTGAAGGATTATAAGAAACAGTATCCAACTCGCAATATGGAGCTTGCGGCCATGGTATTCGCATTAAAGATTTGGAGGCACTATTTATTAGGAACTAAATGTCAGGTTTTTACATATCATAAGAGCCTTCAACACTTGTTCAGCCAGAAAGAGTTGAATATGCGGCAACAACGGTGGATTGAACTAGCTAATGATTATCATTGCGAAATTCTCTACCATCCGGGAAAAGCAAATGTAGCAGCTGATGCTCTGAGTAGAGAGGAAAGAAGTGGTACGATCAAGGATATTGCAATGATAACGAATTTGACTTCGGAACATCACAGTGAAATTTGCGAGTGTCAAGAGGAAGTTATCAAAGAAAATCATTTCAAAGCGGAAAGAGTGAGTAAAATGATTTCCATCTTGGTAAAGAATGATAAGGAGATTTTGTGTTTTCAGGGAAGAATTTGGATACCGCGCTATGGGAATATCTAGGAGTTAATTTTGGATGAAAGTCACAAATCTCGGTATTCAATTCATCCAGTTATCAATAAAATATATAAAGATTTAAAACCATTTTATTGGTAGCCAGGATTGAAGAAGGATATTGCGAGGTACGTGGAACAGTGTTTAATGTGTCTACAAGTAAAGGTCGAGCATCAAAGACCATATGGTAATATGCAGTCTTTGGAAATTCCTGTGTGGAAATAGGATCATATCACGATGTATTTTATCATGAAATTACCTCGAACTCCAAAAGGATATGATGTTATATGGGTTATTGAAGACCGCCTGCCTAAATCTGCGCACTTTCTACCGATTAAAAAGAATTATCCTTTAGAAAGGTTGGCGAAGATTTACATCGAATAGATTGTAACTCGACACGGTGTTCCATTATCAATCATCTCAGATCGGGATAGTCGGTTTACCTCAAAATCTGGGAGAGTTTTCAAAGAGTTATGGGGTCTCAAATTAGATTGAATACGGTGTATCATCCTCAGACGGATAGGCAGAGTGAAAGAAAAATCTAGACTCTCGAAGATATGTTAGGAGCCTGTATTATTGACATCGGGGGATCATGGGAAGATCGTCTACTCTTGATTGAATTTGCTTATAATAACAATTATCACTCCAGCATCCAGATGGCACCTTATGAAAATTTGTATGGTCGATAGTGCAGAACGCTGTTATGTTGGAATGAAGTGGGTGAGAGGCAGTTAACTGGTCTAGAGATTGTTTAGGTAACTTTTGAAAAGATCAAACAGATTCGTGAACGTATTAAAACAGCTCAGGACCGACAAAAGAGTTATGCCGATAAACGTCGTAAACCGATTGAGTTTCTAGAGGAGATTTTGTGATGTTGAAAGTCTCTCCATGGAAGGGTGTTGTCAGATTTGGAAAAAGATGTAAGCTTAGT